ACATGGGCTTTCACAGCATTTCCAACCCACATACTGAAAAAGCACTGGCTGAGCTGACTGAAAACAAAAAAAACAATGTCAATTCACTGGAGACATAACAGGCCAAAACGCCTCTCAGAATTCATCGAGATAATGACAGAATCAGGGTGGAGAAAAGAACTAATGCAGCTCAACAGTAGCTGCTGAAATGAATGCAATTTTTGTCAAAGAAAATGTAATATTCCAAAATCATTCTATGTGATTGATGGCCTGAAATAGAGAAAAAGTAGATTTTTTATTTCAAGATGCAGTTGGATCTTTCTCAACAGCACAGTTTTGGGGTGCTCTTCCTGAACACCAGCTGTCTAAACCTACAACTGCTGGCCTCCGGCACCACACAATACAATTTGGAAAATAACAAAAAGGAAAAAATGTTTTACAAAACTGTTGTTTAGTCAAGTCGGCTGGGTACAGTTTGTCCCCCCAGGCCTGCTTCTCCCCTTGGGGTATCCAGGCACTGTTGCACACTAGGCTGGACTGGAGGGAATGACGCTTAGCCGGGCAGGATGGGTTAGCAGGATCTCAGTTGACAGCATGAGTATAAGAGAAACAGCCTCGTCAACACATGGTTCTCATTGAAATAGTTCTCTTTGTTGGAGGAACATGCCTTGGGGAGTGGTTAGGGGCTTTGGGGGCGAGGGTACATTATTGGCTGAGGTGCTGGGAACGCTTCATTTGCATGAAGAGGAATTCTAGGTGCTATCTGGACATGTCCTCCTAAGGAGAAAGCAAGTTTAACCTGACACCTGGCTATGTGACTACCTCAAGGGCAGCAGAGGTGGCAGTCATACAGTAGAGGTGGCGGTCGTACGGCTTACATTGCGCTGGGACATGCAGGCCCGGGGCAGGGTGGAGCAGTCTTATTCCTGCCAGTCACAGGATGAGATTTTTAAGATTTTCTGAATTTGGACACACCTTGACGTCATTCTTGCTCAAGACTAGCTCCCTTGGTCGCACAGCTTTCCTGGCCCCACAGTAGTTACAGTAAAATACTTTGAAAAACTACAACTAATACCAAAAAGTATGCAATTCAAAATGACTTTTGTTAAAAAATAGAGGAGTCTTACAGGCTGACACCAAAACAGTGGGATGACGCCCGTATGGAAAAGTTCAAGGGAGATTCTGCTGCTATACTGGTAAATACATGTGCGGGTGCAGTGAAAACTCTTCTTGAATCTTGTGGCCACCTTAGCCAGAAGGACAAGATTTTGAATGATATAGCTCTTTAATGTTTAAAAAATAGAGGCCTAAACAGGAACCAAAGTAAAGAACTGACAAACAGGTTAAGTTCTTGGTTTTCAAAAAAGATCAATATGAAAACAACAATAATAAAAAATGAGTAAATCATTTATTTTCTTCAAAGGAGTAAAGTAGAAACAGCTCAGCAACAACACCTTTTCCTTCTGGAACTCTGAGAATACTTTTATGAGAAGACCCTGCAGATGTGCCTTCTCTTATGCTGTGATTCATAAAAAAGGATTTTCTGCAGATCTACTGTCACTGTACGTGTATGGTAAGAAAAGCAGCAGGATTGCCAGTAAGGGCATGCAGGATGCTGACGTGGAGCATAGGCCCTCACCGTAAACTAAACATCTGAATCCTGGCTTCAGGAGTCAACAGGACTATATGCACTGACCAGTCCCTTAATCCTTATGACATTAGCATAAACCATGACCAAATGGCTAATGGTTATGGCCTACCGAGAAGCTTATACTTGATATATATTAAGCTAAAAGAAGCAAGTGTACAAAATAATAAGGTAACTCCTAGCTATATCATGGTTTGGCAAAAATGATTGCTACCTCACATTACTTTTTTATTTAGCATCTATGATGCACACGTGAGGTGTCGTTACTCTCACCCCACAGGTGAGACAATTTACATAATCCACCTGGAGTCCCCCAAGGTTCACCGCAGATCTGTCCACAGCCTTTCTTCGGCCCCACACCCCACATTCTTGTGTCATCCGAACATTTATTGAAATGGAAATGGATCTTTTGCTCTCAGAGTGCAATGTCTGAGGACAGAGATTAGACTCTGCCACTCTTTAGCCACCATCATCTTATCTACTCACCCACATTTCAGAACCTGTCAATGTCATGTCTTCATGGAACTCAAAACTCTTTCAAGACAGTAATTATAAACTTTTAGGGTTTTAATAAAGAAAATCAGAGAGGTGCTAAAAAAGGGCCTGAGAGCTGGATCTCATTTACTTTGAGAGGAGGATTAAAAGTCTTTGGAAGAAGGAATCCTTCAGAGTAGAAACTGGCCAGGAAGAGTTGGGGACAGAAGCTAATTGTGCACAGGAATCTAAAAAGGGCAGTAAGGATAAGAGCCAGGAGGATGGAAGACATGGGTACCTGACCAGTAACAGAGTGGAGCAAATGAGAGGAGAAAAGAACGGACAGGGCCACAGACAGAATGAAGGAGTTCATCTTCGGTTCACCTGTAGAAATTCACATTTGTTTTTTAAAGACAGCTCACAGATCCTACAAGTTCCCAGCTCAGCAAGGACTGTAGAGGGAGGAAGCTGAAAAGTCCAGAGGAAAGTTGAAACAACCAAAACAACAATGGTGTTGGCATTTTGGGAGTGGAAAGAACAGCAGCGAGGATGGGGAGAGCAGCACAGATTCAAGGGACTTCAAATCCCCACAAGGCAGCCTGACAACACCACGTCTTTAATTGCTCTGCATGAAAGAGTCCTCAAGCTGAGCAGTTGCTGCTTCTAAAGCATCCCCCAGTCCCCATGCAAACCTCCTCCTGGGCACAATAAATCACCCAGGTGGCATAAAAGACACAGGAAGAGGCTGAGGAAATGATTGCCAAACTCCTAAACTAGCTGGCAAGACTCCACTTATGAAAATCTCTTGATGTATAAAAACCTTTGTGAAACAAAATGCCTCTCCCAGCTCTGACAATGGAGAAATTTAGAAGCCAGATATGGTTCTGCTAGGTGACTTTCCAAGCTTGTTAGAGAAATGCATTATTTAAAATAGCCTAGAGCTATGCTGCTAGGAACAGTACAACATGAAGGGTACTGAAAGAAAGCCCTTTCATTTAAGGCAGGGGGGAAATGTGTTAGAATGAAAATCTATACCTATCATTCCATCTTCCTTTTGCTGAAAACCTGGTCTCTGTCATTTCTGCATAAAACAGAACAATTTTGACTATCACTAACAAATTCAGTTAACATATAATAACCTGACACAGTCTGGTCAGGACAGAGAGTGTGTCACCCATGTCACTTAATAATTTGAACCATTTTGTCCAGAAGAATTTATTTTCCTAGAATTATAAAAACAAGTCGTTTAGGAAATGGACTTGTTTTCCATATGGACATGAGAACATAGAAACCAGTAATTATAGGGAACCACATTCACAATCTAATAATCCCAAACTACTCAAAAAATGCTTCCCATACTCAAACAGGCTAAGAGCACTAGCAATATGATGGTAAAGAGTGGTTGGGATGACTCAGGTATCAGCTTTTCTCTTGCTAGGACCAGGTTAAAGATACCTGTTGGCTTCTCAATAATTAAGGCTTTAATTTTCACTAAATTAACTAAGACAGTACATTAACAAGCCTAGGGTGATATACTCAAGTGTTCAAGCACAAATAAAGCTTAATTTTGCAAAGAAAAAAGAGGTCTCATTGGCAAGGAATCCTGTTCTAGAGTCCAGCCAAAGGTCTCACAGGCCTCTGATCAAAAGGCTGACTAGGAACACCTTTACCCCTGCTTTGAAGAAGCTCAAAGTGTGGGTGGTGTTGAGATCAAGGTGAAAAGAGGAGCAAAATAGGATTTATATGTAAAGAGCTTTACAAGTTTAAAATATAATTTGCCTTCATTCAATTCAGAAATCACTTTCTCCTGTGCTGAAAAATAAAGCTGTCAGCGGCACTTTCTGTACCTTAAGAATGCCTCTGGAGTCTTGAAAAAAAATTTTTTTCCTGCAGAAACCAGGAAGTGGTATATAAGAGCATCAAATGATGCTTTGGTCTTCTCTTTCTAAGAACTACTTTAAAGAATAGCAGTAGCTATGGAAGATGACGAAAGAAGATCTTACAAATGCACAGGGGCTCAGGGTTGAATAAAATCAGAGTGTATGGTGTTCCATCTGTCTTTGTTTTATCTAAGAAAACTAGGCTACACCTTAGAACTAAACTTTAGCCTCTCTGACAACCTAAAAATCATTAATTTCCCAGCTTACACTCAGAGAAATTAATAACTCTTATATACTAAGAACACACATTCTCTCTTTCTCCCTCTTTCAGTTTGCACTGAGCACTGATACAGCTGGAGCAAAGCGGCCTTTATTAGCAACTCACTTTTGTCCAGGATGGAAGACAAATGCTTAAGCTTGAATTGTATATAACTTTTAATTAAAAACAAAACAAAACAAAACAAAACATGTAATCATTTATTTAAAATATATAAATTCAGCATTGAAAGCTTAGAAAATAATTCTATACGAAACTACAAATTAAATGTTATTTCTCACTACTACTATTACTCAGCCAACACATAGTTCAACTGAATGAAAGTATTTCTTTTTACTTTTGCTAAGCAATCTTGCAAGGCCACTGAAAATCAACAGACTCCAAGCTGTGTGTACATACACAAAAGGAACCATTATGTCAAAACTACCAGATACAGTATTAATTCAATCACTATTAAGCCAACCATAGTTCTGTGAAGAATCAGGACGAGTAAAATCATAATCAATCGCATCTTCTGAAATAGATAAAATCTACTTTCTTTCTCCCAAGAAATGACAGAGTACAGCGATATCCAAGAAATACAATTAAATTATTTTAATTACTTCATGTCAACCTGATAAGTCACTATTGTTTAATGAAAAAAAAAAAACCTGCCACTTGCAATTAATGACTGTTAGTACTGCTTCAATTGATCAAATGTCTAATGCACATAAAACATTCAAAGGCGTTCTGTATATCTTACAGTAATTCAGTCGAGAAGTCCTGTCCCAGGGGTATGTAAATCTGAAGTACCAGAAACCTCTGGATCAGTCCAACTAGAATGAGAGAGAAAAAAACAGATAATGAAATGTTCAGGACACTTGTATGTGCACAGAAACAAACACAGACACGGCAGAGTTTAGCACTCCAGAGGCACACAGGCCTGCAGTAACATATCCATGATTTATACCCTGATTATAAAGGTGAAGACACTGATGACAACTGAATCAAACTTCAACCAGTGTTACAAATTTAAAGTCCCATCTGTGGCACTGGTGAAATTTTTATGAAAATAAAAAACCAGATTTTTATTCACACTTGTTAAGCCATAAGAGAATGTAAGCACAGAACTGCACCCCCCACACACACTCACACACATAAAATTGAACTATGGATTCCCATCAGGGTGGTCATAAAAACATGTAAAGTTATTTCCATTCACTGACAGGTTTTATAGGCTTACTAAACAGCTCCATAAGGAAGAGCAGCTCAAGAAATGCAATTCTAATTATGACAACTGCAACTGAAGACTGGAAGCGGATCTCAATCGCGTGATCTCACTATCCACACTGAACTGGAAGAAGAAACATGGTCTCACGTACAGTCCCTGTTGTTAAATGCTCTTAATTAATTCTCACTAAGAACTGGTAACTTTTATTCCCTATCACTAGTTTCACATCGATAAAAAATATCTGGAGAAAAACCAACCCACATGACACTTTTGATTGCTGAAGTCTACAAGTGCTTAAACAAAGTCAGGTGATTTTTATGCTGTTTCTCTACAAGAAGTCACTTAATTCCTTCCCTCTAAGGTTTTGAACTTTTGATTGATCTCTCAACTCATGATGCTTTTAACAGATGTGTTAGTGCCACCATTCTTAGGATACTGGTATGGGTGGGTTGTAGAAGAACTTGGCACACAAGACATACAGGAGATTCTGGGTTCAATCCTTGATGACATAAAAAATGACAACATAACCTCACAAAAAGCACACCTCCTAAAATATGCAGGTTAGGAACATTTTTCTGCATTGTGTAGGAAATAGAGATGTTGGAACTTTGTCTATGACCCTCTCTTATAAATACAAAAATACAAACACCCAGAAAAGAAGACTTTAAGAAAGAATCAGGTCTGGTGGTGGTCCCCTGCAATCCAGCACTTGGGGCGTAGAGGCAGGAAGATCAGGTGTTCAAGATTATCCTCAGGTTCAGAGCCTGCCTAAGCTATGGCTGGAATGCTTCCCTAGTATGTACAAGGCTGGGTTTCATTTGCACTTGCTCGTGGGTGCACGCGTGCGCGCACACACGCGTGCCCCCCCCCCCCCACTGACATAGGACTCCAAGGTAAGCAACTGATTTAAGGTGATAATGTTTTATTTATTCTAATAGTAAACCAAATAAATTCAAATATTTTAATCCAACAATACACTTTTAATCATTTTCTACAAAGAGTTTCTGGTTTGTGATTCCTTTGGTAAGCTGTTTTTACAACATTCCTAATCAATATAGGTGATTTCTATGTTTTATCCCAAACAAACATAATTGGCCAAACATGTCTACTAACGCTTATTAATGTTTTCATCAAATATACAAGGATAACTTCTTTTAAATTACCAAGCTCATAAATGTGTTCAGGGAGAAATTCAAAGGTAAGCAAAACAGAAATGGGAGATCAAAAGCTCTGTGTTAGAAAATTCTCTAGGAGTGTGTTCTAACACATTTATAGACAGATCCAGTATGGCAAACCAGAGTTCTGACCCATAAAAGCAAAGTGAATAGCAAAATGAGGCCACCTCAAATAAGCTGCCATCAGCTACCCTCTCTGGTCTCTTGCACTGATTGATCCTATAGTGGACTGCCATTTCCACAGTGGCCTCCGCTGTAAACAGAGCTTGGAAATACCAGATCAAATAAAACCAGGCTTTTAAAAGGTCCTTAAATCTATGCCACAAATCTCACGGAATCAGCATTGTTCCCTTGAAACACAAAGAGGCACATGTAAAAGGGTGTTTTTAGAAATGAAAGATCCCTTTCCTCAAAACAAAGAACTCTGCCATTCAACATTCTCACACCCAAAGCCCCCAGTTCCAAAAGGCTTTCATATGTGCTGATGGTCTGACAAAGATAAGAGAGCTTTGATACCATTTGACAGGCTGATTTTGTATGTCAGCAATGCTGAACACACTCCACTGTAGTATATATGTTCCTCTAGCCTAGGAAATTTCAACTGACTCTTCATGTCTGCATTGTACTTAAAATCACTCTAAGTAATACTGAATATTGACCACAAAAACTATCCATCAAACACATAAAACAGAAATTTGTTCTTAAAGGGGTAAAGTACCCATTTATTTCTTGTTTAAATCTTGAAAAACACACTCACCTTGTAAAATAGCATTAGTTTTAAGCAGTGCTTTTTACAGCTGTTTCATTCAAGGAAATGACAGATTGCATATCTCACATACATTTCACAAGGATTACATCATCCAAGAAGGGGGATGAGGCCCCAGGAAATCATTCCCCCTTACTGCCCCAAAAGCTCGGGGTGAACTCACTCCATGGTTTCAGTCACAGCCTTAGCATAGCATTAAATCTGTGCCCTCTTGGGATGTGCAATACAGTTTCACAAAAGAGAAGGTCAATGTTCTATGACAACATTTAATCACAGGTGCTTGAGGGGAAGGGGATGGTCAGTAAAGAAATAACACAGGGACTGAACTTGGAAGAATAATCAGGAAATGGCTGGGTGAGGAGTAAGGGTGTGGGAGAAAGGGACAACACAGACCATAGGTGGAAGTATTCCATCTTACAATGATCTAAGAATACCCAAGAGGAGAGTATAACAGCTGGAATGAACCTCTAATTGTTCAGTCAGAGAGAGAGAGAGAAAAAAAAAACAGATTGAAAACCCAATCATGTGGAGCTTTCAAGGCCATGTGAAAAATAAGGACCAACCTAAAATGAGTGGGAAGTCACTCATTCATGCATTTCTTCAATAGAGATTGACTTGATTGTATACCAGGTAAAGAAGGCAACATAAATTTTTTTCTGTTTTTAAAATTGGTTGGGAAACTAGTTAAAACATCTAACACTTGCACAGCATGTTCATTGCTGTCCATGAGGGCAAGGCAGGGCATAGAGATGGGCCAAAGGGCTGAAAAACAAACCATGTGAAGCACAGGTGTGACCTAAGTACATGTCAGGTGGGCATGATGATGTCTTAGTAAAGGCTGGAAGAGAAGAGACCGTGCTGGGTTTCGAAATGGCAACAGGTCTTGAATGGGTAAAATGTAGGCCAGAGAAAGAGTAATGAGAGAGAAAGCCAGAGGGCCAAGAGGGAACCAGAGAGTTTATATTTCCATAGAGAAATTATTTTTACTTTAAGAAATGGGACATTTTTTGGGAGAAGAATAACACAGTACACAAGTCACTTATAATTGAAGAGTTCTGCGTGGCTACTAATTTGACACCAGACTGTGCGGAGGCCCAGCAAGCAGAAAGGAGCTGCAATAAAATCCAGGCCTGAGAGAGAGGTGTGAACAGTACTGAGGGGTAAGAAGCAGACAGAGATGCCGTCTTTTTGCCAGTGCCAACCAATATCTTCTTAATGGATTTAATGAGAGAATGAAGAAAAATAGAAGTTGATTGCGGCCTTATCAGTTGAAAAAACAGTCTAAGGCATGGAAAGGGAATCAGTAGCCATAGCCAGGAGCTGTATTTTACATACTCTGCTTAGGCCGTCTGGGAAAAAGACCAGTAAATACCTGATGTGCAAGACTGGGGAAAGACAGAATGGCATTAAAAATCCATGACCAGGAACAGCATGTAGCTACAGAGCTAAACATAACATCCAGGGTACTGCGGCATTCAGATGGTGACAGGAGAAGGGGAAAAGCAAGCAAACAAAAACTATCAACAGCCTGTGTAGCAGGAGGAGAAATGAAGACTTGAGATATCCTAGGAGTCAAGTGAACGGTATATCATGGTGGTACCAGCTCCGTCAGATGCTCCCAGAGGGGAAGGTGAGGGCTGAGAAGCCCCTGTTGGTACAGGAATACAGAAGCCTACTTACTCTGATAAGAGCACTTTAATAGAATGGTGAGACCAGAGCCACTTGAGGGTTTTAAACAGAGCAAGGCATAATTTAAAAAGAATAGCAAAGTAGCAGCGAGGAGACCTGGGGGAGCCACAAGAAGCCACCCTCAACTTTCCAGCAGCTGAACGTAGGCTGTCGGGAATACAGATGGCCGGACGCACACCATTTGGTTCAGATGATTCAGCAGGGAAACCAACGGCTCTGAACGTGACCTTGGATAGGAAGTCCCTACTGGATATTTGTGTGTGACAGTGACGCTCCTCACATGGGCAACTCCACCTAACATGCTGAAGGGTGGCAGAGATTTATCTAAGCGTTGAATGATACACTAAAGTGTCATTTCCCAGGGCAGATGGTTACAATTAGAAATTGTAAATTACCCAGCTGGCTCACAGGCTTGGGTTCAATCCCTAGCAACGTAAAGAAAATATATTAAAAAGAACATCTACTGAGTACCTTCCACGCACCAGGCACTGTGGAAAGACCTGCTGTTGGTGCCTGATTTCTAGTGTCTCCCACAGGCTGTCTTCTGATCTCCATGCACACCACGGTGTGGGCCTATACTCATGGAATAATAGATAACTGTAATAACAAATTAAAAACACAACTGATTTATTTACTTATGATTCATTTAATTCAGAAAAATTACTGTATAGGAGCAGTCAAACCTACATAATTTTGTACCTACATAATGAAGTATCAAATGTCAAGTTTGCATAAAGTGTATGTTTACTCTTAAAATAGGAATACATAATGATAATTGAACTTAATTTAGATGCTAATTGAGAGCTTCTTCTCCTCCATTCAAGGTATGCTTTCTAATTTCAGTTAAACTATACCAACCTCACACAGAAGGTCATCTCATACAAGTAAAAATAACCATGAACTTCTGTTATCAAAACTTCCAAAGAGCTCATCAAAGGCGTTAGTGCCAGGGAGACCACGCAAACTGCTTCATTTGTTACACTGCTGCACAAGCTACGGGAGGGCATTGTGTTAGAAATACATTAGAAGATTCTTCTGTTTCTTCTAATTAAACGCCACCATCGTTACATTTAAAGAGGTAATTGTAATACATTAAACCAGATTTCTGAAGAAATTAAGAAAAAAATTCCAAAGCCTGAATAAGAGTAGAAAGAGGGAGAGAGGGAGTCCATTTAGTCACTTTGGCAAAGGAGGACTCTTTCTCAAAGCCAAATGAGAGGACTGTTAGGACTGACTGATTTCATCAATAACATCAATAACAGGACCATGGGTAAGAATGCAGCGGGCACCAAAGGGCAGTCAGATTGTCTTTCCAAGGCCACAATAAGGGCAAAAAAAGAAAACCAAAACACTAGCCAGCTTCGAAGAGCCAAGTTCCTGGAATGTATCTGTTTCATAAAGTCGATATCCCGAAACAGATGAACTGGGCTTCTCTTAAGAAAAAAACTAGAACTTCAGATATGTTTCTCTTATTTTAGCTCACTTTGCTTACAAATACAAATGTATATAAAAATAAACAACAACAACAAAACATCCTGCTATCAATCAAACACCAACTAGAAACTATGAGGAAGTCATATTTACTTGTGGCAGCAAATTAATTTTAAAAATTTAATAATAGTTACCTATTCTCTTTCAAGGTTGCTTTCTTATATTAGTTTATAAAGAAACACTGGCAACACAGATTAAATTGAACCATCTCCCACACATAACTTTCATGGCTTGATAATTCACATTTTAGGAATTTAAAATGTTACATAGTGCCTGAAATGGTAGCTGAAGCCTAGAATCTGTACAGTTTACAAAGAAAATTGAAATTAGAAACCAAGCAGATCTTTTCACAGTGCCCCGTGCATGAAAGGGACTCAACAGATGTTCTTTTTAATGTTTTATTTTGTGTTGCTAGGGACTGAACACAGCCCATGAGCCTGCTAGGCAAATGCTCCATCAGTTGGATTTACCTGCAGCCTTTTACTAAATGTTCTTAATGAATGAAGATGAAGTAAATGATAAGTGTGAAAGAGAACTGCCTATTTATTTCTACAAAATATCAGAAATCTCTATTTAATCAGTAGGACATAGTGCATAAAAAGTCTAATTACATTTATATATTATACTACTCAGGTCACATAAGTTTATTGAAAGCTTAATCTGGCAACAGAGCCTTAAATCCCAACCTCATCTCTGCCAACAACTGCCTTTTTGGACCCCACCTTTAAGTCACCTTATAAGGTCCTGCCTGCTTTAAAATGCTACTGCTAATTCTCACACTAGAATCAATTATTGCAGCTGTCTGTTACATAACATTCATATATTGACTTATTAGATATTAATGTTCCTAAACCTTTATCAATTATCGTTACTACTACTGTCTTGTGTAATTTATTTGTATCATTTTTGTTCTTTAAAAAACTGAAGCCCTTGTAACTTATGGTATCTTGAAGTCATGTCAAAATTTTGCCTTTCCCACCTGATTTTCTAAAAAAAAAAAAAAAAAACAAAAAACATTGTTTGCTCATCTATAAAGGAGTATTATGAAAAATCCATCATACAGAGTTGGTCTCAGCAAATACTACTAAAACAAGTGGCTAAAGTAGCCACTTTAAAACAGTTCTATATTTTGAGAAGTAAGGCAAGATAGGTTTCTTTTTTTAAAAAAATAAATTATTTACTTATTATTTATACAGTATTCTGCATGCATATGCACCTGCACGCCAGAAGAGAACACCAGATCTCATCATAGATGGTTATGGAGCTGCCATATAGTTGCTGGGAATTGAACTCTGGACCTCTGGAAGAACAAACAGTGCTCTTAACCTCTGTACTATCTCTCCAGCCCCCTCAAGATAGGTTTCTAAAGTGCATGGCACACAGCTGATTTCTACGTTTAAAATATCATGTGACTTCACACCAGCAGATGCCACACAAGTCCCATGAATATGCTGGCTTCTCTCTCAGTGTTAAGCTGCAATATCAGACATTGTACTCACGGATTTGCTTGTTCTCCTTTGGCAATTGAATTCTGTTGGTTTGGCTGCTACCTTCCAGGACAAATACAAAACTTTTAACTTCTTTATCAAATTCCTATGGAACAGAATGAAAAGAACAGTATTTGAAGCATATCTTACTTGGCTTCTTCTATAAAACTACAATTGTATTGGCTGGAACACAAAACCTCACTAACCACGTGGCTAATTTCTTATTGTGTGAAATCAGCTTTCCTCCAAATGAAAAAGAGTTCTCCAAGTTCAGGGATCCCAAAGCCACTGATGTGGTTCAGGGTTTAGTGGCTTCTTGCTGCCTGTATGCACTTCCTTCTTGGTACCCCGCTGATTACTGCCCTCACCACGGGAGAAGAAAGTATCTAACCAGTGCTGAATTCACACTCTAAGTTCCCTGTTTTTGAGACATAGCTTAACTTATATATTATTTCATATCTGCCGTGACTTTGAAATATTTTATGTAATTAATTTAAAATCAATATGAATTAAATGTGGTGAGTAAGGCTACCTAAAACGTTGAGCTATGGGGCTGGGGACATGGCTACGCAGTTAAAAGCACTTGTTCTTCTAGCAGACCCAAGTTCAGTTCCTAGCACCCGTTCTGGACGACTCACCACCTATGCCTCCAGGAGATCAGATGCTGTCCCCCTGCCTCCATGGGCACCCACACATATGTAGATATATTCACACAAACACACACACAAATAAATAATAAATCAGACCATGTAATTTCTATTATATTATGTATTTGTAATAAATCATATTATATAATAAATGCAGTAAGTCATATATTAAATATACATATATGAAATATGTAATATGTTGTAATAAGTCAGTCCATGGAATACCTATTATAATAGCATCCCCTATGTATTTGCAATGAACATGCATGAACCAAGTATATTATTTATTTTACTTATGCATACCCTGGACCTGTATTTAAACTTTTCAACAGCTTACCCAAACCTTCAACAAAGTATTTATATGCTGGTCTCTTCCCAGCCCTCCAAACTCAATCACTTCACATCATTAGCGCCAGCAGCTCTCTCAGTTCCCTGAAAACTCTAAGCTCCCTCCTGATGCAAGGATTTTGTTTGTACTACGCCCTCTATTGGAAATGCTGTTCTTCTGTGCACCGGCCTCACCTGAGGCCTAACTGACTCTTAGCAACTGGGTTAGTTACTTTGGGCAGTTGTTATGCTATCCAGCATAATCAGCAGAAAGCAAACGATATCTATCTTGAGGTCAGGGTTTCAACTATTGTAACCCACAGTTTCTTGGTACCGCCAACCTGGGCAAACTATCGTAGTGGTGGCAGCACCAGCAGAAGAGCTTCTTTATGGTGGATAGGAGGCAGGGTAAGAACCAGAAACTAGGGCCAAGGATAACCTTCAAATGCCCAGCCCCAGTGATCTACTTTCTACATCTTGACCCCATCTCCCAAAGTTTCCATAACCTCCCCAAATAGCAGCACCAGTTTGGGACCAAGTACTCAAACATATGAGCCTGTGGGGGTTAGTTTTGCATTCAAAGGACAATAGAGCGCAACGTCATTTGTTTGGAGAAGGCTCTGCTGACTTCTCTGGCACATATTCCCTGAGTACCATTTCCTCCTCGTTCACAGCAGTAGCTGCACAATGCTGACCCCTGTCTTCCCATGCCTTAATGCTCCCACCCATCAGAGGGGCATGCAGCTATCCATCTCACTGAGTTATTTACCTTACATTGTGTGTGTGCTTATCATTAGGCTTGACAAATACTACGTACTTAGCAGCTTTAAGTTTCATCTATATGTATTCCTGTTCTTTCTTTGAAGGCACCCATCTCTTGCCTCTACACAAGAGAAAATATGGATTTTATGTATGATGGCAGTAGGAGGAACTGGCTTCCATATGATGGTTCCTGTTTTCCCTAGGAAGTTGGGTCAAGGGGTGTCGGTTTCTGGTGAGTGAGAAGGGCATGCTCTGGGTGTGGGTTGGGATTGAGAGTAGGCAGTTTGGTGGTTAGAAAATTAAGATAACCAGAAAGGATCAGTTTGGATACTGACAAGAATAACAGGATACTTTTCAGGAATATCGGGGTTGGGATTATAGTGTTATCAATCTGAACGGCTGTAAGTATTTTTCTCCAAGAGTACTGAGAGACCTAGACACAGACAAAGGAAAAGACTGGGGGCCTAGTTACGAAAGTGTCACCATGGGATAGAGTGCTCAGGCATTCAAGGACCTTACTGGAAAGTGACAGAAATGATGCTTTAGTTTCTGCAGTGGAGAAAAAGATGAGAACTCAGAGAACGTAAATAAAACTAAACACAAGGGGGAAAAATAAGAGTGTGTGGCCTGAAGGTCCCAGTCAGACTGCAGAACAAACACAGTGGGAAGGACTGAACAAGTGACCTTAAGAAGCAAAGACTGAGGTCAGAGAACAATGTCTCTGTGTCTCCCTTGGCAATTTCAGAGGTCCTGCTGTTTGTGGTGATGAGGTTGAGGGTGTGACAGTAGAGTGAGGCTGAAGTAGAATGGAAGAGGTCATAAAAGATGATGAAATCAAGAAACCAAGAAGACCAGGACTTTGAAATTTCCTTCACTGACACCAAAGTCAGCTAAAATGATAAAGCAAGACCCAGAGTACACACAGCAGTTACACACCATGTGGCAGTCTAAACCAGCTAAGGAGTGGTGTCTGGAGGGGCTGCAGCCAACAGCACGAAAGCCTCTGAGGCGGACAGAACAAGAAAATCAGTTCTGAGGTGTGATCGGGCCCTCTTTTTTTCTATAGCCTCCCCCATATTTCTTCCCAGGATTTGATTCTTAACATTTAGCACTTACTTTCCAAATCACAGATGGACTGCCGAAGATCTTCCATTTTGCTCCAGGATTTTTCCCCTGAGCGCTAAAAATTTCAACAAATGCACCTCCCTAGATAATAAGAACAAAAAATTCAGAGTGAAATACAATGCTATGGGATAAATTATATCCTCCACAGAGTCTAAAACCAGGGTTCTAGCCATCTGTCAGTTAAACAGATCTGGGAAGAAATAGTATCCCTGTTTTTATGCCTATTTTATACCGTGGCTGTAAATAAGCCACAAACATTGTGATTTGGGTCACCTTAGATTAGTAGGGAATTTACTTTTAAAAACACAATAAACATCAGTTGTGCCATAGAACTACTGCAGATGGGGCTCACTGACCTGAGATGTTCAGATTAGGTCTGCAAGGCATTCTAAAAATACCAGATAAAAGGCTTGAACTAAGCCAATAAATTCTTATCATTATATATGAATAAAAACTTAGTAGTCATTCTAATTAGGGCTCAACTGATACTTTCTTTTTAACTTTCTGAATCTGGAGTTACTTAATGTCTTGATTTTTCCATCTGTCAAATCATCAGGGACAATACATGGCATACAGCAAGGGCTTAATAGTACTACTGAAGATGATTAAATAAAGGGGAAAAGTAGCTCCATCTCATAAGGCCTAGGAAGGTTTGCAGTATATGTAGAGGAGGGAATCTCACTGAACAGCTCTATATATCTTTTAAACAAATAAATCTGGAGACATATAAGAACACAAAGAATATTTTCTATAGATTCCTTGTTACTTACAATAAACTCAAGCCTGGACAGTCACACATTAAATTTAGCATTTAATGTAAAAATACCAAAGATATAATTAAGTGTCCATAGCTCATAAAATGAGGGAATTAAATGATTATCTTCAAGGAAGAATTTACTGCAAAATTTGAGAACCTGAGATGAAGACTAAATATGGTTTGAATTACAAGCAGCACATAAAAAAAAAAAAAAAAAACAAAACAAAAAAAACCTGCTTGATTTTTGTAAAAACCTGTTGGTTTTTTTGTGTGTGTGTGTGAAAAATTACCAGCTTTTTTCCTCAAGCATATATTTTGCTTCTGACATGTAGACAATTTCTTCTTTCTTATTATGTGCAAAATTGTATATGCTACTGCTTCTCAGGGCGGGTCATTTTGCTATGAATTTTAAGTTTGAGGCAGCTGGGTTTAAAAAAGAAATCCCCTAAAACTTAGTCAGTCAATCTTTTCTCCCCACTCTCCCCCCTAGTCTTCCAAATTACCCACAGTGGGCATCTGTTATTTCATTACATTATACTTGATCTACATGAAGTGAGATTAAACGAAGTTTATTTTAACCCATTGAACGAATTTCTAAAATGGGACAAAAATACACAGTGCTTTAAGGACAAGTCGTGTTTGGCCAAAAGGATGAACCAACAAAGAGGGAGAGGCTAGGGGATGGGGCATCAGGCACTGTGACAATATTCCTAATTGCTAAATGAAGATGCTATATAGACAGGCTTCAAGATGAAGCCAAGGGAGCCATTCAGTGAGCTGAAAAAAGGACCCCATCCACAGGACAAGGTGACTGCGGAACACTCTCATTCAAATGTAATCCTTGGAGTTGGGAATTGCTTTAAAAAGTAGAACTGCTTTTTCTTCTAACCGATTTCGACATCAGAAGAAGGAGAAAAGAGGGAACAAGTCAGGAGCCTCCCACAGAGGGCCTCTGAAAGGCTCTGCCCTGCAGACTATCAGAGCAGAAGTTGAGACTTATGGCCAAACTTTGGGCAGAATGCAGGGAATCTTATGAAAGAAAGGGGAGACAGAAATACCTGGAGGGGACAGGAGCTACACAAGGAGAGCAACAGAACCAAAAAATTTGAACACAGGGGTCTTTCCTGAGACTCATACTCCAACCAAGTATCATGCATGGAGATAACCTAGAACCCCTACACAGATGTAGCCCATGGCAGTTCAGTGTCCAGGTGGGTTCCATAGTAATAGGAATGGGGGACTGCTTCTGACATGAACTGATTGGCCTGCTCTTTAATTACCTCCCCCTGAGGGGGAAGCAGCCTTACCAAGCCACAGAGGACAATGCAGCCATTCCTGATGAGACCTAACAAGACAAGAATCAGAAGGAAGAAAAAGAAAACCTCCCCTACCAGTGGACTTGGGGAGGGGCATGCGTGGAGAAGGGGGAGAAAAAGAAGGATTGGGAGGGGAGGAGGGAGGGAACTAGAGGGGGGATATAAAGTAAATAAACTGTAATTAAAAATAAAATAAAAATTAAAAAAATAGTAATAATAAAGTAGAACTGCTAACCCTATCTACACTTTTTCATTCTCCAGATGTAGAGGGAGGGTCAGAAAGTCTGTTTTGTTAATTACTCCCCAACTAATCCTGAAGTACGCCTATGCTGGAGGCACTGACTAGGAAAAAGAAAACAGCACAGAACCCAAGCGCTTTACTTTGATGCTGGGTTTAAAAGGATTCATTCAGGAATTCATTCGTTCACTCTTCTAATTAACTTCTGAGATATCAGAGGGCACCAACAGCAAAAACTCCAGGTGCTAGTTAAAACTCAGATTTCTGGATCCTGTGCTCAAGATTCCAATTCCGGATGTCCGGAGTAGGGGCATCATGACCTGCTCTGCAATCAGAACAGGTTCAGCACTGAAAGGCACTGAGCTGGATGAAGCATGAGCACCTCAAGGTCAAGACAACTTAGCCACTATTTTTCACCCCGGGGGTGGAGGCTTCAAACCCACAATCGGGTACAGTTCAACCCCGAGGAGGAAGCCAGACAGTGTGGAAGGCCTTTTGAGTTACCTGGTACTCATTTTTGAACATTCCCGCAGAGGGCCCGGGTTTTGGGGGGACACAGAGTTTGCTGGCTGCAGATGGGCGGGCAGAGGCGGCTCTGGGCCCCGATGGCTCGGGCGCTCTCCGGTGCCTCGCGCCCGCAGTCAGCTGCGCCCCCAGCCTCCGACCCGCGCCATCCTGGTCCCCGCTCTGGGCGCCACGGCAGGGGACTGATGGCACAGCGACCTGCTGGCCCTGCCGGCGGAGGGATTGTGCGTAATCTACGTGACCGCCCCGCCGCCACCTCCGAGCACAAACCGACCGCGCCCGCGGGAACCTCGCAGCCCGCTCAGGGGCTTGGCTGCCGCGCCCATTGGCTCCCCGGAGGCGCGTGCGCACTGAGCCCTTCGGCTTGCTTCTCTGGCTAGGCTGGGGCGTTGCCCGGGCAACTCAGGGACACGTCCACGTGTTTCGGATTGTAACCCATTAGCCAAAAAACGTATGGGGTTACTGTAGGCTCTGACATGGATCTTGTATCTTCACACGCGCTCTAAGTACTGTAAATTTTGGAACTGCTGTTTGGTCTAGTGGTGGTTTCGGTTCATACATTCCCATACCCGTTGGGTTCTTTGAGAAATAACAAACTTAGTTTTGGAAGGACTAGGAAATGATGTTTATTCAAGATCATTGAAGCCTTTGAAAGGGTAAGCTAAGGCTTCTTCACTCAGAATAAAGTACTCTGAGGTAGGTGCCCCAGACAGCATACTGAGAGACTAGCGGTGAATTTCCTGCCTGCACCCAGGTTACGTATTGGGTGAGAGAGACAGTAATGAAACGAAGGGAAAATAACCACAACTTAGCTTAGTAGCGTGGACACGGAGAGTGAACAACACTGGAAGAGTATTTCAGCTCGCTGTGGGTATTGTAACAAGTTCTCACAAACATGGCTTGAAAATGAGAGAAATTTGTTCTCTGGTAGTGCTGAAAGTTGTGAGTCCAAAATGAAGTGGTCAGCAGGGCTGCACTCCCACTGGACACTTGGGGAGAATTCCTTTGACGATTGTCACCCCTGGGCTACAGCTTGCCAATGTCACCTTCCCTCTCCCCTGCGTGTTGTCCTTGTAGCCTGTAATGAGAAGACCTGTGATGACACTCAAGCCTATCTTAGTTACCTTTTCCGCTGCTGTGATGAAATTACCTGACAAAAGCAACCTAAGGAAGGAAAGTTTTCTGTCGGCTCACAGTTCGAGAGGATACAGGCCAGGATGGCAAGTGTAATGCCCAAAATTAACCTGTAAATTCCACCAGCCCAAGGACCAGTCGTCAACCTCCTGGGATGCTGGGAGTTGTGATTCTTGGAATATAACAAAAGTTTCATGGGAGAGTACGGTAGCCTACAAGTTTGCCTTTATAAACCCCTGCAAAACAGGTCTCAGGGCCACTCAGCTGGGAAATTTCAGGGACTGGTCCTGACCAATGTCCATCTCTTGGTCAGTATTTTAATATTTAATATAGTTTGCTTCAAACTCGGCCAAAAATGGTGAAATTGGTTTTTCTCCGGCAAATCTCCGGATTAACACAGAAACGGCACGGTGACAGAAAAATGAGGTCACATTGCATTGGTAGTCAGATCGCAGAGCGATGGATGGATGCTGATTCAGATCACTTTCTCCATTTTATTTAGTCTAGGATCCCAACCCTTGGGATGGTGTCACCCATTCAGGGTAGATCTTTCTAAGTCAAACCTCTCTGGAAACACCCCCAAAGACACGCCCAGAGGTCTGTCCCTCAGGTGATTCTAAATTCAGCCACAGAGCCCATCTGTATAATTCAAACCATCTTCAGTCAGCATTAATCACCTTCTCTGGACTGATCCAGAGTCAGAGGGCATTCCTAATTCATAGTTTTAATATGGTATGTTTTATGTAATATTAATTAACTATCGCATTCTCTATACCCACCTCACCATGCAAACATTCTATCTAAACACTTCTCAGATTGACTCACCTTCCCTTCATTGTAGTCTCTGCTCTGATTGACCTGTCATTTTTCTCATCCCCAAGCTGTGAAGACACCCTCCTAATTAGCATTCTGTTGACAAACAATTATGGTGAGGTAAGATATCTTTATAAAATGTAAATCCCAAAGCTGGGAAGAAGGTTCAGTCAGTCAAGTACCTGCTATAAAAACAAGACCCAAGTTCAATCCTCAGTGCCCGTGTAAAAGGCAGTGCATCTGTTGTCTCAGATCTGCAGAAAACAGAATAGAGATAGGTAGGTCTCTGAAAGGAATTGGACAGCAAGTCTGGTGGAATTTGTGAGCTGCAGGTTTGGTGAGAGACCACATGGAAAAATAAAATGGAGAGTGATGTGGAAAGATACTTGATGGCAACCTCTGACATCCACATCCATCGACATGCACATGTACACACACCACATGAATGCATATATATACCATACACAACAAATACACATGCCCACACAAAGTTAAAATCAGTACGCCTAAAGAAGCTGAGAAGAGGGAGGACCCTGGGTAAGATGATCAGTTCTCATTCAGAAAGGCAAAGAGGATGGACATCAGAAGAGGGAGAAAACAGGGAACAGGACAAGGGCCTACCACAGAGGGCCTCTGAAAGACTCTCTACCCTGCAGGGTATCAAAGCAGATGCTGAGACTCATAGCCAAACTTTGGGCAGAGTGCAGGGAATTTTATGAAAGAAGGGGGAGATAGAAAGACCTGGAGGGGACAAGAGCTCCACAAGGAAAGAAACAGAACCAAAAAATCTGGACACAGGGGTGTTTTCTTGAGACTTATACTCCAACCAAGGACTGTGCATGGAGGTAGCCTAGAACCCCTGCACAGATGTAGCCCATGGCAGCTCAGTGTCCAAGTGGGTTCCATAGTAATGGGAACAGGGACTGTCTCTGACATGAACTCAGTGGCTGGCTCTTTGATCACCTCCCCCTGAGTGGGGAGCAGCCTTACCAGTCCACAGAAAAAGACAATAAAGCCAGTCCTGATGAGACCTGATAGAGTAGGGTCAGATGGAAGGGGAGGAGGACCTCCCTTATCAGTGGACTGGGGGAGGGGCATAGGAGGAGAAGAGGGAAAGGGTAGGGCTGGGAGGGAATGAGGGAGGGGGATACAGCTGGGGTACAAAGTAAATCAACTAATTAATAAAAAATTAAAAAAATACAAATTCTTTGTAGATTAAAAAAAAAAAAAAAGGTGAATCCAACCACACCAGTTTTCTGCTTCTCAACCTTTGGTGACTACAGAGCCTGAGCTGGCTCTGTAAAATCTAGCTCCTGTCTTTCTCTCCAGTTCTAGCCTACCTGTTTCCCAACCCTTTACCCATCCTACTTTCATTCCAAGCACATTGAGTACTTTTTAAAATTCATGTTCATGTTTGATAGCTACCTTTCCCTGTAAGCCTTTATGTTTAAGTGCTTACTTAAAGGTAAATTAATAATCTCAATTAAAACTCAAATTAACTAACTGCTTTATTTGTGTGTATTTCTGTGTACATGTGTGTGAGTGCACATACATAGGACAACCTGATGAGTCATTTCTTTCCTTCAGCAGCATGAGTCTGAGGGATTGAACTCAGGTGGCAAGCAACTATACCATTGAGCTATTTCTTGAAATAAAAACCTCAATTTTATGAAAAAAAAATTGTTGTAGAGCAATTACAATGGTAATTGTTTATATCCATGAGGGTTATTACTAAAGTAGTTTTGTTTTCATCACTTGTTCCTTCAGTTTAAGGTTGTAAGAATACAGTTTCACTCACTTTAAGGTCAAACATCTGCTTCTAACCCTCTGAGAGATTAGCAAATTAAAGAGACTATTAGTTGTGCTTTCATTTGCTTTTCATTTATATGGGTATATCCAGACAATGGGCAAATCTGAAAGCTGCCAAACTCATATCAGCTTAACATATGATGAGAGCTGCCCTTAACACTCACACTGGTGGCTAGCTACAAAGCAAAATAACCATATATAGTTCTTTAACAACATGAGCTTAAAGCTGGGGATGGGACAAGATCCAGTGTTATTATAGCAAATGCTCTTATTTAATTTGGATGAATGCTAGCTATGTACAAAATCTTGGATTTGACTATGCTTTCAAGAACATCTACCAGAACTGTGTGTGTGAGAGAGGGAGAGAGAAAAAAAAAAGCCAGCCTCCTCAAATAGCTTGGCTTAAAGCACACTATTTATGTGTGTTATAAAAGACAGTGAAACTGTTTCTTTAATTGCTATAATTTTTTATGAAGTCAGTACATTTAGTAATTGCATTAAATTGCTTAACTTAATTTGACAACATTAAGAATTAGTCACTTTACAAGCTTTAAAATGTTCATTTTTGTTCTACGAAGAAAGTAATTTGTGGTATATTAATATTATTAAAGGATATGGGATAGCATTTAAAACAGAATAGGCTAGGGACAGCTTTTCAAGGTGGCAGAATCTTTGTTTGACAAAATAGTTATTTAAGTTTAGTGTCTATGATTATCAATTTGGTAAGCAGCAGCACTCTTTTGAACTAAGAATATACTGTTTATACCACAATCTAGTTATGGTTTACATTTTGGGTGTGGTTCATAATTTATTTGTCATTCCGAGAATAAAAATACTGGAATGATTATTAAAATGTGCTGTTTCACAACAACCTTGAAATGTTTAATACTTGAATAGCTAAGATTTTTCCACACTGTGACTGACTTTATGAGTTATAATCATGCTGAGTTGGCAAAGTAATTTTGATCTGTCTCTACTTTGTAGCCTTAAGCTAGTTATTATTGAAAAACTAGCGACACCCAAGACATCTGTTTGACTTGCATTCTGACTGCAGCAACATGCTCTTTGACAAGAAGGGAGAACATTATGTTTTTTTTTTTTTTTTTTTTTGTACTGTTTATTAGGTTTTCTTCTCAAACAGTTCTGATCAGGGAGACTTATAGGACTATTTCCTCTTAAGATGAGCAAGGACCTTAAATTTATGCAGAAACTTGAACTTTCCAAATACAGCTGCTATACCTGGTATTACATATTAAACTATGAATACTTTCCTAAAGTAGCTTATGGAATATCGAACATTTGTCTTTAAAATGTGAACATACTTGCAAAATGCATTTTAGAAAAGAAGAAATTAATTGAGTGGATATAAATAGTGAGGAAATTCTGGGGTCCTTTATAAGAAAGGAGAACTCATACTGAGCAGCCTAAAGAGATCAATATCCATTATAACAACAAGACTTAAAATATCACATTTAGGGAGA